AAAGATAAGTTCAGAATTCGAATGTTTGAAAGGATTAGGTCAGAACTCCAATCTTTTGAAAGATAATGTCGGAAAGTCAATGTTTGGAAGGATATGGCCATAACTGCAATGTTTTGAAGGATAGGAAAATAAATGTTGTTTTTAAAAGGATAAGGCCAGAATTCGAATGTTTGAAAGGATGAGGTCATAATTCGAATGTTTGAAAGGATAAGACCAGAATTCCAGTGTTTGGAAGGATAGGAGCAGAATTTCAATGTTTGGAAGGATAAGGTCAGAATTCCCGTGTTTGGAAGGATTAGGTTAGAATTCCAATGTTTGGAAGGATAAGGTTAGAATTCCATCGTCAAAAGGATAAGAAAAGAATTGCGGTGTTTGGAAGGATAAGGCGAGGATTCCAATGTGTGGAAGGTTAAGTTCAGAATTCGAACGTTTAAAACGATAAGGCAAGAATTCCTAATGTTTGATAGGATAAGACAAGAATTCGAATGTTTGGAACGATAAAGCACCAATTCTAATGTTTGGAAGGATCAGGTCAGAATTCCAATGTTTGGAATGTGTAGGTCAGAATTCCGATGTTTGGAAAGATATGCTCAAAATTCCAATGTTCGGAAAGATTGGGTCAGAATTCCAATGTTTGGAAAGATAAGGTCAGAATTCCAATGTTTGGAAGGATATGGTCATAATTCCAAAGTTTGGAAGGATAGGAAAAGAATTGCAGTGTTTAAAATAATAAGGCCAGAAATCTAACGTTTGGAAGAGAAAGGTCAGATTCGAATATTTGGAAGGATAAGGTAACAATTCTAATGTTTGGAAGGATAGGACAAGAATTCCAATCTTTGGAAGGTTAAGGTCAGAATTCCACTGTTTGCAAGGATAAGGTAAGAATTTGAATGTTTCGAAGGATAAGACCAGAATTTCAATATTTGAAAGGATAAGGTCGGATTTCCAATGTTTGAAAGCATAAGGTCAGAATTCTAATGTTTGGAAAGATTAGGTCAGAATTCCACTGTTTGCAGGGATAAGGTAAGAATTCGAATGTTTGGAAGGATAAGAGCAGAATTTCAACATTTGAAAGAATAAGGTCAGAATTCCAATGTTTGGAAAGATTAGGTCAGAATTCTACCTTTTGGAAGGATAAGGTAAGAATTCGAATGTTGGCAAGGATAAGACCAGAATTTCAGTATTTGAAAGGATAACGTCAGAATTCCAGTGTTTGGAAGGATATGGTCATAATTCCAAAGTTTGGAAGGATAGGAAAAGAATTGTAGTGTTTAAAATGATAAGGCCAGAAATGCAATGTTTGGAAGAAAATCGTCAGATTCGAATATTTGGAATGATAAGGTAACAATTCTAATGTTTTAAATGATAAGACAAGAATTCCATTGTTGCGAAGGACAGGACAAGAATTCCAATCTTTGGAAGGTTAAGGTCAGAATTCCACTGTTTGGAAGGATAAGGTAAGAATTTGAATGTTTCGAAGTATAAGACCAGAATTTTAATATTTGAAAGAATAAGGTCAGAATTCCAATGTTTGAAAGCATAAGGTCAGAATAACAATGTTTGGAAAGATTAGATCAGAGTTCCACTGTTTGCAAGGATAAGGGAAGAATTCGAGTGTTTGGAAGGATAAGACCAGAATTTCAACATTTGAAAGGATAAGGTCAGAATTCCAATGTTTGGAAAGATTAGGTCAGAATTCTACTGATTGGAAGGATAAGGTAAGAATTCGAATGTTTGCAAGGATAAGACCAGAATTCCATTGTTTCGAAGGATAGGACAAGAATTCCAATCTTTGGAAGGTTAAGGTCAGAATTCCACTGTTCGGAAGGATAAGGTAAGAATTTGAATGTTTCGAAGGATAAGACCAGAATTTTAATATTTGAAAGGTTAAGGTCAGAATTCCAGTGTTTGAAAGCATAAGGTCAGAATTCCAATGTTTGGAAAGATTAGATCAGAGTTCCACTGTTTGCAAGGATAAGGGAAGAATTCGAGTGTTTGGAAGGATAAGACCAGAATTTCAACATTTGAAAGGATAAGGTCAGAATTCCAATGTTTGGAAAGATTAGGTCAGAATTCTACTGATTGGAAGGATAAGGTAAGAATTCGAATGTTTGCAAGGATAAGACCAGAATTCCATTGTTTCGAAGGATAGGACAAGAATTCCAATCTTTGGAAGGTTAAGGTCAGAATTCCACTGTTCGGAAGGATAAGGTAAGAATTTGAATGTTTCGAAGGATAAGACCAGAATTTTAATATTTGAAAGGTTAAGGTCAGAATTCCAGTGTTTGGAAGCATAAGGTCAGAATTCCAATGTTTGGAAGGATAAGGTCAGAATTCTAATGTTTGAAATGATAAGACAAGAATTCCATTGTTTCGAAGGACAGGACAAGAATTCCAATCTTTGGAAGGTTAAGGTCAGAATTCCGCTGTTTGGAAGGATAAGGTAAGAATTTGAATGTTTGGTAGGATAAGACCAGAATTTTAATATTTGAAAGGATAAGGTCAGAATTCCAATGTTTGAAAGCATAAGGTCAGAATTCCAATGTTTGGAAAGATTAGATCAGAGTTCCACTGTTTGCAAGGATAAGGGAAGAATTCGAGTGTTTGGAAGGATAAGACCAGAATTTCAACATTTGAAAGGATAAGGTCAGAATTCCAATGTTTGGAAAGATTAGGTCAGAATTCTACTGTTTGGAAGGATAAGGTAAGAATTCGAATGTTTGCAAGGATAAGACCAGAATTCCATTGTTTCGAAGGTTAGGACAAGAATTCCAATCTTTGGAAGGTTAAGGTCAGAATTCCACTGTTCGGAAGGAAAAGGTAAGAATTTGAATGTTTCGAAGGATAAGACCAGAACATTAATATTTGAAAGGTTAAGGTCAGAATTCCAGTGTTTGGAAGCATAAGGTCAGAATTCCAATGTTTGGAAAGATTAGGTCAGAATTCTACTGTTTGGAAGGAGAAGGTAAGAATTTGAATGTTTGCAAGGATAAGACCAGAATTTCAGTATTTGAAAGGATAAGGTCAGAATTCCAATGTTTGGAAGGATAAGGTCAGAATTCTAATGTGTGGAACCAAAAGATGAGAATTTCAATGTTTGAAAGTCCAATGTTTAGAAGGATAAGGTAGAAACTCTAAGGCTAAAAAAATGGGACAAAAATTGCAATGTTTAGAAGGATAGGGGGGAATTCTAATGTTTGGAAGGATAAGAGCAAGAAATACAAAGTTTATTAAAAAAAGAGAGCGGAATTCTTATGTGTGGAAAAGGAAATAAAAATTATAATCTTTCAAAGGACACGGCTAGAATTCCAAGGCATACAGGGACAGAGGCACAATTCCAGTGTCTGCAAGGATAACATAAGAATCCCAATGTTTTGAAGGGTAATATCGGAAGTCTCGTGTTTAGAGGAATAAGAGCTAAGAGACCAATGTTTGGAATAATAAGGCTAGAATTACAATGTATGGAAGAATAAGATCAAAATTCCAGTGTTTGGAGGGATAAGGTGAAATGTAAATTGCAATGTTTGGAAAGATAGGGTTAAAATTGCAATGTTTGGAGGGATAGGGGCAGAGTTCCAATGTTTGCAACAACAAGATAAGAATTCCAGTGATTGGAAGGATAAGGTCAGAATTCTAACGTTTGGAAGAATAAGATCAGAATTCCAATGCTTCGAAGGATAGTGCCAGAATTATAATCTTTAGAAGGAAAAGACCAGAATGTCAATGTCTGGAACGTTAAGGTAGAAATTGCAATGTTCAAAAAATAGGACCAAAATTTCAATGTTCGCAAGGATAGGGGAGAACTCCAATGTTTGGAAGGATAAGAACTAGAAATCCGGAATTTATAACAACACAGACCAAAATTCCTATGTTTGGAAAAGAAAATAAAAGTTATAATGTTTCAAAGGACACGGCTAGAGTTCCAAGGTATACAGGGATAGGGGCACAATTCCAATGTTTGCAAGGATAACATAAGAATTCCATTGTTTCGAAGGATAAGATCAGAACTCCAGTGTTTGGAAGGATAAGGTCGGAATTCCAGTGTTTGGAAGGATTAGGTCATAATTGCAGTGTTTGGAAGAACAGAGCCAGAATTCTAACTTTTGGATAGGTGACAAAAGAATTCCAATGTTTGGAAGGATAAGACCACAATTTAATTGTTTGGAAGGATAAGGTCAGAATTCTAATGCTTGGAAGGACAAGAAAATAATAAGGATAGGAAAAGGATAATAAAAGAATACCAACGTTTGGAAAGATAAGAAGAAACGAATTCCAGTATTCGGAAAGATAAGACAAGAATTCCAATGTTTGAAAGGATAGGGATAAAATTCAAATGTCTGGAAGGATAAGACCAGTATTCCAGTGTTAGGAAGGATAAGATCAGAATTCCACTGTTTAGAAGGATAAGACCAGAATTCCAGTGCCTGGAAGGATAAAACCAGAATTCCAATGTTAGGAAGGATAAGACTAGAATTCCAATGTTTAGAAGGATAAGGCCACAATTCCAATGCTTCGAAAGATTGGACCAGAATTCTAATGTGTAGAAGGATAAAACCAGAATTCCAATGTTTGGAAGGATAGGGCAAAAAGAATAATCTTTAGAAGGATAAGACCAGAATGTCAATGTTTCGAAGGATAAGGTAAGAATTTTAATGTTTCGGAGGATAAGGTCAGAATTCGTGTGTTTGGAAGGATTAGGTCAGAATTCCAATGTTTGGAAGGATAACGTCAGAATTCCAATGTTTGGAAGGATTAGGTCAGAATTCCAATGTTTGGAAGGATAAGGTCAGAATTCCAATGTTTAGAAGGATAAGGTCAGAATTCCAGTGTTTGGAAGAATAGGACCAGAGTTCCTATGCTTGGAAGGATAAGACCAGAATTCTAATGTTAAAAAGGATAAGAACACAATTCAAATGTTTGGAAGGATGGGGCCAGAATTGCGACGTTTTGAAGGATAAGACCAAAATTCTAATGTTTCGAAGGATAAAGTCAAAATTCCAGTGTTTGGAAGGATAGAGTCACAATTCCAATGTTTAAAAGGATACGGCGAGAATTCCAATGTTTGGAAGGGTAAGACCACAATTCCAATCTTTGCAAGGATAAGGTCAGAATTGCAATCTTTGGAAGAATTAGGTCAGAATTCCAATCTTTGGAAGGATGAGGTCAGAATTCCCAAGTTTTGAAAGATAAGGTCACAATTCGAATCTTTAAAAGGATTAGGTCAGAATTCCAATCTTTGTAAAGATAATGTCGGAATTTCAGTGTTTGGAAGGACATGGCCATAATTGCAATGTTTCGAAAGATAAGGTCAGAATTCGAATGTTTAAAAGGATAAGGTAAGAATTCCTGATGTTTGATAGGATAAGACCAGAATTCGAATGTTTGGAACGATAGGGCATGAATTCTAATTCTTGGAAGCATAAGGTCAGAATTCCCATGTTTGGAAAGATAAGGTCAAAATTCCAACGTTGGGAAAGATTAGGTCAGAATTCCAGTGTTTGGAAAGATAAGGTCAGAATTCCAATGTTTGGAAGGATAAGGTCCGATTCGAATATTTGGAAGGATAAGGTAACAATTGTAATGTTTGAAAGAATAAGACAAGAATTCCAGTGTTTGGAAGGATAGGGCACCAATTCCAGTGTTTGGAAGGATAAGACCAGAATTCCAATAGTTGGAAGAATAAGGTCAGAATTCCAATCTTTGGAAGAATAGGACAAGAATTCCAATGTTTGGAAGGATAAGGTCAGAATTTTAGTGCTTCGAAGGATTAGGTCAGAATTCCAATGTTTGAAACGATAGGGTCAGAATTCTAATGTTTGGAAGAATAAGGTCAGAGTTCTTATGTTTGGAAGAATAAGGTCAGAATTCTAATGTTTGGAAACATAAGGTCAGAACTCTAATGTTTGGAAAGATTAGGGCAGAATTCCAATGTTTGGAAAGATAAAGTAAGAATTCTGATGTTTGGAAGCGGGGTGGAGGGGGGGGGGGGAGAATTATAATGTTTTGAAGGATCAGATGAGAATTTCAATGTTTGAAAGTCCAATGTATGGAAGGATAAGGTAGAAACTCCAATGATAAAAAAATAGGACTAAAATTGTAATGTTTAGAAGGATAGGGCGGAATTCCAATGTTTGGAAGGATAAGAGCTAGAAGTACAAAGATAAGAACAAAAAGAGAGCGGAATTCTTATGTGTGAAAAGGAATTAAAGATTATAATCTTTCAAAGGACACGGCTAGAATTCCAAGGTATACAGGAATAGAGGTACAATTCCAGTTTTGCAAGGATAACATAAGAATTCCAATGTTTTGAAGGCTAAGATCAGAACTCCAGTTTTTAGGGGAATAAGAGCAAAGATACTAATGTTTGGAATAATAAGGGCTAGAATTACAATGTTTGGAAGAATTAGATCAAAATTTCAGTGTTTGGAAGGATAAGATCAGGTTGAAATGTTTGAAAGGATAGCGCCAAAATTGCAATGTTTGGAAGGATAGGGCCAGAATTCCAATGTTCTGAAGAACAAGGCCACAATTCCAATGATTGGAATAATAAGGTCAGAATTCTGATGTTTAGAAGGATAAGGCCACAATTCCAGTGTTTCGAAGGATGAGGTAAGAATTTAAATGTTTCGGAGGATAAGGTCAGAATTCCAATGTTTGGAAGAATAAGGTCAGAATTCCAGTGTTAGGAAGGAGAGGGAAAAATTCTAAAGTTTGAAAGTATAAGACCAAAAATCGAATTTAATTTTTACAAGGGTAAGGTCAGAATTGCAATGTTTGGAAGGATAGGGACAAAATTCCAGTGTTTGGAAGGATAAGAACAGAATTCCAGTGTTTCGAAGGATAACGCCAGAATTCCAATGTTTGCAAGGATAAGGTCAGAATTTCAATGTTTGGAAAGATAACATCAGAATTCTAATGTTAGGAAGGATAAGATCAGAATTCCAATTTTTCGAAGGATAGGGTCAGAATTCTAACGTTTACAAGGGAAAGAGCAGAATGTCAAAGTTTGGAAGGGTAAAGTCAGAATTTCAAAGTTTGGAGGAATAAGGTAGTAAGTCTAATGTTAAAAAAATGGGACCAAAATTGCAATGATTAGAAGGATAGGGGCACAATTCCAATGTTTGCAACGACAACATAGGAATTCCAATGTTTCGAAGTATAAGATCAGAACCCCAGTGTCTAGAAGAATAAGACCTAAGATACCAAGGTTTGAAATAATAAGGGCTACGATTCCAAGGTTTGCAAGGATAAGATAAAAACTGCAGTGTTTGGAAGGTCAAGGTCCGAATTCCAGTGTTTGGAAGGATAAGCTCAGAATTCCAGTGTTTGGAAGGATAAAATCAGAAATCCAATGTTTGAAAGGATCGGACCAGAATTCCAGTGTTTGGAACGACAGGGCCAGAATTCCAATGTTTGCAGGGAAAAGATCAGAATTTTAATGTTTAAAAGGATAAGGTGAGAAATGTAATATTTGGAAGGATCAGATCAGAATCCCAATGTTTCGAAGGATAGGGCCAGAATTATAATCTTTTGAAAAAGAAGACTACAATGTCAGTGTTTGGAAGGATAAGGTCAGAATTCTAATGTTTGGAAGGACAAGCTCAGAATTTCAGTGCCTCGAAGGATAGGACCAGAATTCTAATGTTTCGAAGGATAAAACCAGAATTTCAATGTTTAAAAGGATAGGGCAAGAATTATAATCTTTAAAAGGATAAAACCAGAATGTCAATGTTGTGAAGAATAAGCTCAGAATTACAGTGTTCAGAAGCTTTAGGTCAGAATTTCAATGTTTGGAATTATAAGGTCGCACTTCCAATGCTTGGAAGGATAGGGGCAAAATTCCAAAGTTTGAAAGGATAAGACCAGAATTCTACCGTTTGAAAGGAGAGGACCCAAAATCGATTTTTAAGAAGGATAAGGTCAGAATTGTAATGTTTGGAAGGATTAGCTCAGAATTCAAATGTTTGGAAGGACAGGGTCAGAATTCCAGTGTTTGGAACGATAAGAACAGAATTCCAATGTTTGGAAGGATAAGGCCAGAGTTCCAATGTTTGCAAGGATAAGGTAGAAACTCTAAAGTTAAAAAAATGGGACAAAAATTGCAATGTTTGGAAGGATAAGAGCTAGAAATCAAAAGTTTATATATAAAAATAAAGAGACCAGAATTCCTATGTTTGGAAAATAAAATAAAAATTATAATGTTTTAAAGAACACGGCTAGAATTCCAAGGAATACATGGATAGGGGCACAATTCCAATGTTTGCAAGGATAAAAAGAATTTCAATGTTTCGAAAGATAAGATCAGAACTCCAGAGTTTAGAAGAATAAGAGCTAAGATACCAATGTTTGGAATAATAAGGGCTATAATTCTAATGTTGGAAGGATAAGATCCAAATTCCGGGTTTTGGAAGGATAAGGTCAGAATTCCAGTGTTTGAAAGGACAAGACGAGAATTCTAATGTTTGGAAGGATAAGGTCAGAATTCCAACGTTTGGAAGGATAAGATCAGAATTCCGATGTTTGGAAGGTGAATTCTAATGTGTAGAAGGATAAAACCAGAATTCCAATGTTTGGAAGGATAGGGCAAAAAGAATAATCTTTAGAAGGATAAGACCAGAATGTCAATGTTTCGAAGGATAAGGTAAGAATTTTAATGTTTCGGAGGATAAGGTCAGAATTCGTGTGTTTGGAAGGATTAGGTCAGAATTCCAATGTTTGGAAGGATAACGTCAGAATTCCAATGTTTGGAAGGATTAGGTCAGAATTCCAATGTTTGGAAGGATAAGGTCAGAATTCCAATGTTTAGAAGGATAAGGTCAGAATTCCAGTGTTTGGAAGAATAGGACCAGAGTTCCTATGCTTGGAAGGATAAGACCAGAATTCTAATGTTAAAAAGGATAAGAACACAATTCAAATGTTTGGAAGGATGGGGCCAGAATTGCGACGTTTTGAAGGATAAGACCAAAATTCTAATGTTTCGAAGGATAAAGTCAAAATTCCAGTGTTTGGAAGGATAGAGTCACAATTCCAATGTTTAAAAGGATACGGCGAGAATTCCAATGTTTGGAAGGGTAAGACCACAATTCCAATCTTTGCAAGGATAAGGTCAGAATTGCAATCTTTGGAAGAATTAGGTCAGAATTCCAATCTTTGGAAGGATGAGGTCAGAATTCCCAAGTTTTGAAAGATAAGGTCACAATTCGAATCTTTAAAAGGATTAGGTCAGAATTCCAATCTTTGTAAAGATAATGTCGGAATTTCAGTGTTTGGAAGGACATGGCCATAATTGCAATGTTTCGAAAGATAAGGTCAGAATTCGAATGTTTAAAAGGATAAGGTAAGAATTCCTGATGTTTGATAGGATAAGACCAGAATTCGAATGTTTGGAACGATAGGGCATGAATTCTAATTCTTGGAAGCATAAGGTCAGAATTCCCATGTTTGGAAAGATAAGGTCAAAATTCCAACGTTGGGAAAGATTAGGTCAGAATTCCAGTGTTTGGAAAGATAAGGTCAGAATTCCAATGTTTGGAAGGATAAGGTCCGATTCGAATATTTGGAAGGATAAGGTAACAATTGTAATGTTTGAAAGAATAAGACAAGAATTCCAGTGTTTGGAAGGATAGGGCACCAATTCCAGTGTTTGGAAGGATAAGACCAGAATTCCAATAGTTGGAAGAATAAGGTCAGAATTCCAATCTTTGGAAGAATAGGACAAGAATTCCAATGTTTGGAAGGATAAGGTCAGAATTTTAGTGCTTCGAAGGATTAGGTCAGAATTCCAATGTTTGAAACGATAGGGTCAGAATTCTAATGTTTGGAAGAATAAGGTCAGAGTTCTTATGTTTGGAAGAATAAGGTCAGAATTCTAATGTTTGGAAACATAAGGTCAGAACTCTAATGTTTGGAAAGATTAGGGCAGAATTCCAATGTTTGGAAAGATAAAGTAAGAATTCTGATGTTTGGAAGCGGGGTGGAGGGGGGGGGGGGAGAATTATAATGTTTTGAAGGATCAGATGAGAATTTCAAGGTTTGAAAGTCCAATGTATGGAAGGATAAGGTAGAAACTCCAATGATAAAAAAATAGGACTAAAATTGTAATGTTTAGAGGGATAGGGCGGAATTCCAGTGTTTGGAAGGATAAGAGCTAGAAGTACAAAGATAAAAACAAAAAGAGAGCGGAATTCTTATGTGTGAAAAGGAATTAAGGATTATAATCTTTTAAAGGACACGGCTAGAATTCCAAGGTAAACAGGAATAGAGGTACAATTCCAGTTTTGCAAGGATAACATAAGAATTCCAATGTTTTGAAGGCTAAGATCAGAACTCCAGTTTTTAGGGGAATAAGAGCAAAGATACCAATGTTTGGAATAATAAGGGCTAGAATTACAATGTTTGGAAGAATTAGATCAAAATTTCAGTGTTTGGAAGGATAAGATCAGGTTGAAATGTTTGAAAGGATAGCGCCAAAATTGCAATGTTTGGAAGGATAGGGCCAGAATTCCAATGTTCTGAAGAACAAGGCCAGAATTCCAATGATTGGAATAATGTCAGAATTCTGATGTTTAGAAGGATAAGGCCACAATTCCAGTGTTTCGAAGGATGAGGTAAGAATTTCAATGTTT